TTACTCTGAAGTTTGTTAACCAAAAATAAATAGCATGTTACAGGGTACATATAATTCTCTTGCTTTCTATGGATGTACACAGAAGTGGAGCAATTGAAATGATAAGAAAGGTGGATACTTTCTGAAGTCAAAGGGTTGGGTTTTGAGAGAATATTGTGTCATGAAAGGGAAACACAGAAATCATTTGAAAGGCAAATGTTACTCATGGGGGAGAAAATCTTATTTATTTTATTCTTGTTTTGAGACAGGGTCTTACTAGGTAGCTTTGGTTGGCCTGGAGCTTGCTATGTAAACTAGGCTGGCCTCAGACTCAGAAAGATCCACCTGCCACAGCCTCCCCAGTGCTGAGGCTGAAGGTGTGCACCATGCTCTGCTTCATATTTACTTTTGAATGACAAGAATTTAGTCTGAGTGTTGAAGGTAGTCTGAATTCTTTTTCCTGTGCTTAGCATTATTTAGGAGATTTAGAGTGTGTGAGTAATAGCTAAACACATACAAACTCTTTTCTATAAAATTTTCTAAGTATTTCAGTCATATATATAAATACACACACATACATACATACACACATATATAAAATATAAAGTCATGTGCTTGGGTCATGTCATGCAACTTCAAGTTGCATGAAATTTGAAAGAATTGAAAGAGAGAAATTTGAAAGATTGTAAGAAAATTCTTATTGAAGCCACAGTGTTACAGTTCAAATAGACACAGTGCCAAATGCTTTTCACAGATTTTCTCATTTACTCCTCCTGAAACCTCTAGTCATGTTCTTTTGTCTTCTCTTGTTACATGGAAGGTGCAGAGACGGTGGGAGAACAGGGCAGAGTGATAATCCAGCCCAGAGTCTGACTCCAGAGCCTATTGCTCAGTGCTGACCTGTTTTATGCACAGCGTTCTACACAGTCTAGTGTCAGCCTCTTACCTCATCCCGCTAGAGCCTCCTAAGAACACAAGGTAAAAAACCATGGGAGCAATTGATAATTAAGGGGCTTATTCATGACCTCATACACAAGAGGCAGAACAGACTACATTTTGGGTACCTTGCTTCTGTTTTAGACTTGCTGACTGTTAACTATTTTTCTTTTTTCTTTTTGGAGTCTAGATTTTTTTCACTGGGGGAGGGGGAAATCAATGAAATATTTTTTTCACTTGTCTCTCTCTGTATTGGTCTATTTATACACATGTTTAAATATCATTAACATTTCTTTTAAAGATAAAGAAACAGAAAAGCACATGAAATTTTATTTCATATATAATTTTAGGGGTGCCTAGAAGGCGATCTTTAGGGGCCTGAAGGCTTGGAAGAACACATTGTTAGGTGTAGTGGAGGTTCTTGCAAAAGAATCAGATCTTCCAGAAATCAGCACCATGAAAGCCTTTTGCTTTGCTGTCAAGAAAAATGCAACAACGATTTTAATGCTTTTGATTGCATTTGAAGCTTCCAGCTGGTTGCTATCTTTTTTCTTTTGTTCAGATTTCTCATAGATTATCATTATTAATATTATTAACAATTTATTCACTTTTTATCTCAGTTGTAGCCCCCTCTATCATCCTCACCTGGTCCCACCCTTCCTCTCTCTTCCTCCCCTTTCCCTCGCCCCTAGTTCTACTGTCTGACCCTAGCCTGTCAGGTCCCATCAGGACTGTCTGGATCCTCATCCTTTGCATCCCCAAACATGCAGGCAAATGGATAGAGTTGTTGCTGTCTGTTAAAGGGCTCCTCCTCCAAAACCTAAAGGGATGCAGGCCAGGGCAGCTGATCCATGCCGAATCAGCCATCACCAGAGAAGCTTTTTCCTGCAGCAGATGGGCATGAATACACAGACCCACAGCCAGGCAATGTGCAGAGAGTGTGGCGAGACCTTGCAACACTCAGCACTAAATTAAACGGCTCCATCAAATGCTCAGGCAACTCTGCAGAAGAGACAGAAAGATTGTAAGAGCCAGAGGGGATGAAGGACAGTGGGGAATCAAGACTTTCTGAAGACAACAGCAGCATAGCATACCTACGAGCTCACTGAGCTCACGGAGACTGAGGCAGAGTGCATAGCACCTGCACTAGGTGGGTGGGGTCCGAGGGCTGAAAAGGGACCCAAAAGGTTTCTGCAGCTGATAGTCACTTGCAAATTAAAACTCACTGGGGAGACACACTACTCTCAAGTGCAGGCTCCATGCCCAGCAGTAGACAGCCAACAAAAGGCAAACTCAGTGGCATCTTTGGAGGTTCTTTGTCTTATAATGTTGTGTCAGGGCCTTTTTTTTAATTTTAACTTTACAGATTGTTTGCATATATGTTATAGCTTCGGTTTTGTGGGATTCCTATGTGTGAAAGCAGGCTATTGCATTCATATGTATTACTCTTGCTTTTCCTTAGCTCCCTTTCTTCTGTCTGTTTTGTTCTATTCAACTTGTTTTTTTGTTTTATTATTATTTCTCATGTCATTTGTTTTCTAGAGACACAGAAAGGGTGTGCATCAGGATGGGAGGGAAGGAAGGAACTAGAAGGAGTTCGGGGAGAGGAAATCATAATCAGAATACACTGTATGAGAAAACATTTTAATAAAAGAAAACAACAACAAAAGTCACAAAAATTAGAGAGTCCAGGTAGGCTGTTTCACATCTATAAACCCAGCACTCAAGAAGCAAAGGTAGGAGGATAATTGAAATATCCAAGCCAGCCTGAGGTATACAATAAACTCTTGGACACTTAGGGCTACGTTGCAAAACCTTGTCTCAAAACTAACTGTTAGAAAGCAAAAATAACAACAAAAGGAAATGAAAACAACAACAACAAAACAACCAATCAACCCAAAACAAAACAAACAGAAAACCTCCAAAACCTGTATCCCAAAAGTAAAACTATACAAGCCAGCAATCCATCCACTACCCACGACCCTAAAGACTAGTCAGTTAGAAAAATACAATATGTTCAATATGTGCGTAGCAGCAGTCAAAGGAGGCGGAAGGCCCCTGAAACCATGCCCAGCTTTCAAGGAAGGTGCTGTCCTAAGGAGGAGGCAATAGGGCAAGAACATTAATATGAGACACAAAATGAGAAAAATCATAGGAAAAATACAAAGTACTATGCCGTTCAGAGAGCGGGGAGAACACATCTGGATATGAGTAATCCAGAATGTTGTTTTGTTGGGTGGGTAAGGTTTAAACACTGAAGAGATGTGTGTCAGGTCGGAGGGAAAATGCCAAGAGGGCTTTTCAATGAGAAAGAAAATAGAGGGACATTTACATATTTTACTCTAGTTTATTAAATCTACAAGCTTCTTAATGCTTATCTGAAAAAAAAAAGAAATGAGAAACATTCTAAAATTGTATCTGAAGCCTTATTTGATACCTACTTTCTTCCAAGGAAGTTGAAGAACTACATGATCAAAATAATTGGAACAACTGTATGTCCTTTGCAGTAGGTGGAGACTGGAAAAGGATCTAGTGTGTGAGTAACTGATCTGATCAGAAAAGTGACCAGTGAGTCAGAAATAGAGTTAGTAAGATCTCTTGAGTTTCTTAAACTCCTTCACACAAAGTGAATTTAAAATAGGTGATATTAATGAATTGAGAAGAAAAATGTCTTAGAACCTATTTGCAATCTATAATTTTCATACCAATTTCTTCCTAAATACCTTGTTTCCAAAAGTCTTTTCCTTACACACATCCATAAACTATTTTGCACCTGGTCAAAATCTCACAGCTCATCATGCTAGAGTGCTTGAGACTCATTAAAACACACCAAATACATTCATTCAGTTCTAGTTATCAAGCAAATGCAAATTCCAGAAGGTTGTCACGTTGAGTATAGGAGTATAGCCTCTAGCACAGATATGTGGCCACTCCCAAGGGCTGTCTTACGGTGGTTGCAGACATGAGCTCAGTCCTTAGCTCATGGAGACCCTCTGTCTCTCAGGGTAGAAAGGAGAGTGTTTAGGCTGCTGGCACTCAGTCGTGTGTCAAGGAATAAAGGTCCCATGGAAGGTTAGAATAAGATGCCAGGGACTAGGGGAGCTGCAGTGAGGAAATCCGAGTTTGACACTGCTGGACAGTTTTTAGATGGTGGTGGCAGGGTACCATATGTGAAGTCTAACACTCAGACAAGCGGAATTTCCTTCTGAGTGAAAAATAAAGTTTGAATCCATTGATTCAGAGTCCTCCTAATGTAGTTTCTCTTGATTTGAAAGCAAGAATCTAGTATAAACTGAGAAAGCACTAACTGGTTAATCCATGTTAATCAAATAGTGGGAAGTCTTAAATGTAAATGGCACCAGTGACTCATTTTAAGAGTTTAATAGTTCAAGGAAACTATCTAAAGAAGATTCTAGATTTCCTTTTTCCATTTTAATTCTTCATTTCCTTTTTAGTTTTTAATAACTTTTTAGACACATTTACACATATATTTTATTTTTTATTAATATTTTTGAGAACTACATAACTTTTGGCAGACATCTGTATTTTATAATAAAGAGTCTGACTATTTTAAGGAATAATGAATTGTTGTTTTTAAATTTTTTTTTATTACAATTTATTCACTTTGTAGCCCAGCTATAGCCCCCTCCTTCATCCCCTTCTAATCCTACTCTCTCTCCCTCTTCTCTTCCCATGCCCCTTCCCTAGTCCACTGTTAGGGGAGGACCTCCTCCCCTTCTAGCTGACCCTAGTCTATCAGGTCTCATCAAGTCTGTCTGCATTGTTTTCCTCTGTGGCCTGGTAAGGTTGCCCCCATCAGGGGGAGGTGATCAAAGAGCCAGCCACTGAGTTCATGTCAGAGACAGCCCTGTTCCCTTTACTCGGGAGCTCATTTGGAGACTGAGCTACCATGAGGTATATCTGTGCAGGGGTTCTAGGTTATATCCATGCATGGTCCTTGGTTGGAATATCAGTCTCAGAAAAGACCCCTGGGCTGAGATTTTTTGCTTCTTTTACTCTCTTTGTGAAACTCCTGCCCAGGTCTTTCTATCTCTCCATTCTTTCAAAAGATTCCCTGCACTCTGAAAAATATAGAACACTTCACAAATTTGGGTGTTATCCTTGCGCAGGGGCCATGCTAATCTTCACTGTATCATTCTAATTTTAGTATACATACTGCTGAAGCAAGCGCTACATAACATTTTATGATCATACTCATCTCTTATTTCATCTCCCAGATCCACCACCCATCCCATACCTAGCCAACATTGTGACCCTATTTTTAAAATCCATGGCAGCTCAGTCTCCAAGTGGGTTCCCTAGTAAGGGGAACAAGGGCTATCTCTGACATGAACTCAGTGGCTGGCTCTTTGGTCACCTCCCCCTGATCGGGGAGCAGCCTTACCAGGCCACAGAGAAAGACAATGCAGCCACTCCTGATGAGACCTGATAGACTAGGGTCAGATGGAAGGGGAGGAGGACTTCCCCTATTAGTGTACTAGGGGAGGGGCACAGGAAGAAAAGAGAGAGGGAGGGCAGGATTGGGAGGGGAGGAGGGAGGAAATATGGCTGGGATACAAAGTGAATAAATTGTGATAAATAAATAAATAAATAAATAAATAAATAAATAAATAGATAGATAAATAAATAAACCCATTGATTCCCACTAGTACTGCCTGTGAATTCTTGTGTAGGTGGCTATGTACCAGAGTGTCTTTGACCTACCAGGGACCAGGCCATGAAAGAAAGAAAGCCATCTCCTTTCTCGAGCAGCGATTGCCCAAAGAGCTAGGGATCGGATTCCATGTCCAATTTCATGCTTTATGCTGGTATTTTGTGTGTGTGTTTGTCTTGAGCTCATGCAGGTCTCATGTGTGCTGTTATGTTGTCACAAACAGTGTGATTTTATATGCACAACCAGCATATTGTGTCTGAAAACACCTTCCCATCATCATCCAGCTCTTAGTCTTGCTAATTCCTCTTCTTCAATAATCCCTGAGTTTTGATGGGATAGTTTGATACAGCTGTCCCACTTAGGACTGAGCACTCCATTGTCACTTATTCTCTACACTTTGACCAGTTGTGACTTTCTGGGTTAATCACCATCTACAGTAGAAAGAAGGGGTTTGAGTGAAGCATTATTCAATGGACATAATGTTAATAGTAGGTTCTCATTTAGGACTGATGGGCCTGTCTAGGCCCATGGTACTATTACCTGTGATAAAAATGGGTTCCATCTTGTGGAACTGTCCTTAAGTCCAACCAGAATTTAGTTGGTTACTCTCATGACAGTCCCGCCACTATAGAACCAGTAGACAAATCTTTCCAGGTAGGTTTTTATTGCACCTCAGAGGGTTCACACATGGGCAAGATTGGTGGTTCTTTTACTACTCCTGTTCTATCAATAGCACCTTTCAGCACCGTGAAAGCTAACCAGTAGGTGTAGAGCATTCAGGTCAATACCAGCTCAGTTTCTTCACATTCTGTGTCTCAAGTATGTGATGTCTTCAACAACAATATGGACTTATCATCAAGTTCTAGAAGGTAAGCAAAAGCAATAATGCTAATAATGTTTGGGGGGGGTTTGCGGAATCTCTCTGGCCATCAGTTTCAATAGCGTTACCTCCTTCCTGACACTGGACTTTTTGTTTGGTGTCTTGTGGTATGTAGGCGGGCTATTGTTTCCCTCCATTTAAGATCTTCTTATATTGTATAGGTTTATGTTTTAGGACATTTCTGTGGTAGTAGTTTTTTGTATGACTTTATCAGAAGTTATCTGGTACTAGTTATCCTCCCTGTATTTCCCTTTCTACCTTGTCCTACAGTATCTACCACATTAAACTATTTCAGTTGACTATTCTCTCTCCTCCTTCATGTCACGGCTTTTGGTCATCACTTGACCCTAAGACCCTTTCCCAGTGCTCTTACTAATTTCCTGAATACCTGTGGGTATAGAAAATGAGACACACAGATCTAAGTATTCAAAGCTAACATCTATAAATGGGAGAAAACAAATATTCATCTTTTTGAGTCTGGGTTACCTCACTCAGAATGACTATTTTCAGCTCAATCAATTTGCCTAAGAATTTCATAATTTTATTTTTCTTAAGAACTGAATAATATACTGATACTCCAGCCAAGGACAACTCATGGAGATGGCCTGGAACCCCTGCACAGATGTAGCCCATGGTAGTTCAGTGTCCAAGTGGGTTCCATAGTAATGGGAACAAGGACTGTCTCTGACATGAACTAATTGGCCTGCTTTTTGATCACCTCCTCCTGAGGGGGGGAGCAGCCTTACCAGGCCACAGAGTAAGACAATGCAGGCAGTCCTGATGAGACCTGATAGACTAGGATCAGAGGAAAGGGTAGGAGACCTCCCATATCAGTGGACTTGGGGGAGAGTCACTGGGGGAAGAAGGAAAGAGGGTGGGATTGGGAGGGGAGGAGGGAGCTACAGGGGGGATACAAAGTGAATAAACTGTATTTAATAAAACATAGGAGAAAACAAGTAACAGGACAGGAGCCTACCTCAGAGGGGCCCTGAAAGACTCTACCTAGCAGTGTAATCAAAGCAGATACTAAGACTCATAACCAAACCTGCAGCAGAATGCAGGGAATCATATGAAAGAAGGGGGAGTTAGTATGATGTGGAAAGGATAGGAGCGCCACAAGGACTAAATATATCTGAGCACAGGGGTCTTTTCTGAGACTGACACTCCACCAAGGACCATGTGTGGATATAACCTAGAACCTTTGCTTGGGTGAAGCCCATGGTAGCTCAGTAATCAACTGCTTTCCCATAGTAAGGAGAACAGGGACTATTTCTGACAGGAACTCAATGGCAGACTCTTTGACCTCCCCACCCCCCAAGGGAGGAGCAGTCCTGCTAGGCCACAGAGGAGGACTTTGCAGCCAGTCCTGAAGATACCTGATAAAACAGGGTCAGATGAAAGGGGAGGGGGTCCTCCCCAATCAGTGGACTTAGAAAGGGGCAGGGAGGAGATGAAGGAGGGAGAGAGGGTTTGGGAGGGAATGAGGGAGTGGGATACAGCTGGGATACAGAGTTAATAAAATGTAACTACTAATTAAATTAAATTAAATTAAATTAAAAAATAATAAAAATAATTATGAAAATACTTGATTCTGAAAAAAAAGAACTGAATTATTCTCCATTGTTCAAATGTATCGCCTCTTAAATTATTCATTCATACATTGATGAGTATGTAGGCTGTTTCTGTTTCCTGACTCTTATGAATAGAACAGCAAAAACACATGGATGAGCTGGTGAATCTAAGGCAGATATTGAGTCCTCTGAATATATCCCCAGGAGTGGTATAGATGGATCATGCAGTTGATCTATTTTTAGCTAAAAATATATTTTAAAATTTATTTATTTTTATTTGTATGCTTGTTTCTTCCTGCATGTTTCTTCCTGTCTGTTTGTACATAACAAGCCTCCCTGGTGTCTGCAAAAGGGCACAAGGGGATGTCAGATTCCCAGGGACTGGAGATATAGACAGTTACAAGTCATCATGTAGGTATTGGGAATTGAACTTGGGTCCTCTAGAAGAGCAGTCAGTGATTCTTCCCTGGAGCCATCTCTCCAGCTCCTCTTCCTAGCATTCTGAGAAAGCGCCACACTGATTTCCACAGTTACTGCTCCAGTTTGCACTCCCACCACCAGCAAGTAGGTTTTCTTGCTTCTATACCTCCGCTTTGGCTATTTGTCATCACTTTAAAGACAATTAATCTTAGCCATTCTAACTGGGGTGAGAGAAATATTAAAACACTATTAAATGAAAATGTCCTGATGGCTAAGAACGTTGAACATTAAAATAACAACAGCACCCATTCTATTTTATCTTTTGGGAACTCTGTTTAGTTTCATGACTATTTCAAAATTGGAGCATTTGTTTTTTATGGTTTTTTTATATTCTGTGTACATTATAGATAGTAACCCATTGTAAGACGTGCAGCTGATAGCTATTTTTTTTCCCATTCTGTAGGCTGCCTTTTTATTCCAGTGATATTTTCTTTAGGTGTACAGAACATTTTTTGTTATTGTTTCATGTGGTTCCATTTGCCAGTTGTTGGTCTTAATGCCCACACTTCCAGGACTCTGCTCAGACAGTCCTTTCTTGTACCTATAGGTTCAAGCATATTCATTACCTTTTCCCCTGCCAGTTTCAGGGTATTGGGTGTGATGTTGAGGTCCAGGATCCATCTGAAGTTGAGTATTATGCAGGATGGGCGATAAGGATCAACTTTCATTCTTTTTGTGACCCAGGACTGTTTTTGCTATTCTGGTTCTTATCTGTGTTCATAAAAAAAAAAAAAAAAATTAAGATTGTGTTTTCAATTTTTGTGGAGAATTGTGTTGGAATGATGAGGATTGCATTGAATCTGTAAGTTGCTTTTGTTAGGATGGGCATGTCAAATGATGTTGGCTATGGTCCTCTTGAATATTGCCTTTATTACGTTAAAATAGATCCCTTATATCCCTAGGTGCTGCAGGACTTTTATCATGAAGAGATGTTGGAATTTGTCAAAGCCCTTTTCTGCATCTAATGAGATGACCATGCAGTTTCTTTTCCTTTAGACTATGATTGATTTTATTGATTTATGCGTGTTTCACCATCGCAAAATCGCTTATATGAAGCTGACCTGATTATGGTGGATAATCACTTTGATGTGTCCTTGAATTAAGTTTGCAAATATTTTAATGAGAATTTTGCTCCTCTTCATCAGAAATGGCCTATAATTTTTCTGTTTTGATTGGTCTTTGGTTTGGTATGTGGTAGTAATGATTTAAAAATAATTTATAAATGCCACTTCATTTCCCATTTTGCAGAATATTTTGAGGACTATTGACATTACTTTTGCTTTGAAGGTCTGGTAGAAATTTTTCACTGAATCCACCTGGTTTTGAACATATTTGGAGAGGGGTCAGTGGGGGATGGGCATGTAACTGCTGCTTTTATCTCACTGGATGTTATGGGTTTATTTAAATTACTTAATTTTTATTTAACTGCTATGATATATATATATCTCCATACATTTCTTTAGGTTTTCCAATTTGGTGGAATATAGATTTATAAAATACACCATTGTGTTTTTCTGCATTTCCAAAGTTTCCATTGTAATGCTTCTGTTTTCATCTCTAATTTGCTTAATTTGGATATTTT